CCCATCAGAAACACGATTAATCCCTTCCGACCAAAGGGGGAGGGAGAAAAGTAATCAAGCGTGCAAGACCCACTGCAAATGTAAAGAAAGCAAAGCAAAAAGCAATCAAGCGTGCAAGAAAGACCCAATGCAAATTTAAAGAAAAAGCAAAAAGCAATAAAGCATGCAAGACCCATTGCAAATGCAAAGAAAACAGAAAAAACAAGATGGGGCAAGACCCATTGGAAAGGGGGGAAAAAAACCTCAAAAAGCAACCAAACCCCACAAGACCCATCAGAAATGGGGGGGGGGAACCAAAAAGCAAGGAAACCTCGCAAGACTCATCGGAAATGGGGAAAAAACCACCAAAAACCAAACCCTCCAAGACCAATCGGAAATGGGAAAAAACCTCCAGAAAGCAAGGAAACCCAAGACCCATCGGAAATGGGGGAAACCCCCCCCAAAAGCAACCAAAACCCCCAAGGCCCATTAGAAATGGGAAAAAACCCCAAAAATAACCAACCCCCCAAGACCCATCATCGCACATTCTCTAACTGTTTGGGCGAAAGAGCTACAAAGAAGCAGGCTCTTCTCCACCAACAGTTAGCAATTTGAATTTCCCACCTTTTTTCCCTGACTTTTTTTGTTTGTAACTGGAAGCTCTGGCCGCAAGTTGAAGCAAACTTTTGCAGCCAGAGCTAGTCGGAACTCAAAATGGTCGTATGTCGGGACGTTCGTAAGTCATGGCACCTCTGTATAGTGTAATTTTTGAGATTTAGCATACACACGCTTTCTACTGTTCAAAGCACTTCCCATTTACTGTATATTTCGAATCCTTACAATAAGCTTGTAAAACAATCTACTATTATTTCCCTCCAACCACCTCCTTAAATGTGTGCTGCGGTGGGGGGGGCAGTTGGAGAGCAATGGGCCACTTAGTGAACGTATGGCAGGCATGACATTCAAATTAGAGACATCCTGATTTGCACTCACTCACAGCCACTGCACTAGGGCTGGCAAGAATTTTGGTGGTCAGGCACAGATGTGTTTGACTTCGATCTAGAGCAGTCCTCTCATGTTCCTGGACTACAACTTATAGAAATCTTGGCCAGTGCAGCTGCTGGTGAAAGAAAGCTTCTGGGAATTTTAGTCCAAAAACATCTGGGGACCCAAGGTTGGTAACCACTGATCTAGAGCTCAGATTTTATTTCCACAACTCCTAAAATTCCCCCAGCTAGCATGGCCAATAATAATGATGGCTGGGAAATTGGAATCCCAAGAGTACAAAACAAAACTTTCCCAATGTCTACTCATGACCCACCAGACCCATTTATCTACAATTCCTAGAAATCCCAGTGTTACTCTAACACCAACTGGATGGAAAATGCCATTTCTGCCAAAAGCAAGAAAAACACTGATGTCAATCGATGCTATTAAATATGAAGCAGACAATCAGGAAGGAGCATATTATTTGCTCATTTATTTATAGAAGGTTGGTTAATACAATCTCCATAGTTTTGCAGTTTCATTGCTAAGTGAGTATCTTTTGAAATAATTAGAAGAGCCTTGATACCACACTAATGAATGCTTCTCTCAGCAGG